ATTCGTTCGTTATAGTGTTTGTTTTAGCGCAAATATTGAAATCAAGTGTATCGTAAAGTTGTATTCGGAAAGAATAAACCAGTTTTATTAAGTAAGGACTTGTGTCGCTAAAGTTTCGTCGGAACGAAGTTACGGAAAGTTAATTAACAAACGGAGACGTAACATTATGAAATGACGCCACTTGTTAATGTGTTTAATTGAAATAAAGTATCTACGAAAATTTATAAACAACAATGGACTTTGGTTTGAAAATTAAAAGCCATCTGAGAGATACTGTTTTAATGTTTTGGAAAAAAATTGTTATTAAGCAAAGTTTTATTACAATTTACTAACCTGTAGGTAACGTTTTCCGAGGTCTTCAACGCTTCACTCTCATGTTATGATAACACCGTCTTGTGAAATTTTACAACATTGCACAGTTAGTTTTCCCCATTGTTTCCGAAACATTCTCAAAAGTGACGTTACCAAATATACTATACTGGTGGGGCGAAATATTTAGAGATGTCCTTATATATCCTCATAATATCCAATCTCTATTTCGGTAGAAACATCGTCTACTTTTAAATATTTTTCCCTCTCACATCGTCCTATTTTAATTGTACTGTGATTTTATCTTGTATTGACGCTATTTTTCGATCAGCAAAACTGGCTTAGAAGCAGGCACTGATCCACTTTGCACGATATTAGTTTCTAACATAACGGTAAAAATTTGTCAAATAGATATTACACAACAATCGAACCGTAAATTATGAATCATGTTCTTGTGGACAAAGGTCATCTAATTTTAGAGCATATTTTCTTAATTTTTCTTCAAAAAGTACAAACAGGATCTACCATAAACAAACATTTTTCGACTTTCCAAAACCTAACATCACATTGATGAGCCGTACTTTAATGTACAGCTTAGAAAAATTAAAATTGCCACAATATCAAATCTTACCATAAAAAATGCTCCCATTTCTTAAAATCTGATGTTAGATACGCACGACTGTTTAAATTTAAGTATAGTACGAGTGTTAAATTTAGTTATGTTTAGAAGCGATCAGTTTATCGCAGGTTTGTTTACGTAACTGTGTACGAATCATAGGTTGTGAAGTTCCATTGTTGTGATTTTGCGCTTGTATTATTGCGTCATGTTACTAAAACGTTCTAAGTTTTTCTCATTGTTTGATCGAGTTTTATTACATCATAATATCTCGTAGTATTTAGAAAGTTTTAGGTCTCAGTCGGGCTATTTATAAATACGCGTCCAAAATGTAGTTCAAATTAAGTTAATTAAGTGAAGACAAAGTTAGTAAGAAATACAAATAGTCAAATAGATCTAGATATCGTGTTTATAAGCTTAGCTGCAAAGAGCGTATATCGGCGATTAAAAAGTGAATTATCATAGATTGTATTGTAATAACAAAGTAGAGAAGAATAATTCGTTTTGCCAATGGTGTTCTAAAGTAATTGTGTACAATTATCAGTTAGTCTACTGTTATAAGCTGCTTTATCTCCACATTACTGTGTGTACGATTATTAGTTAGTCTACTGTTATAAACTGCTTTTCCTCTATGTTACTGTTTGCACATTAGATCAATCTACTTTGTTAACAAATGGTTTATCACTACATTACTTTGAACACGGCAGATCAGTCTATTGTTATCATCTGATTATACCAACATATACACTGTACATAGTTGAGTACGTCATATTAAAACAGTAGGTATGAAGTCGCGGTGGAACGAAATGTGTCATAATTACAATTTGATACTGTTTGTCGTTGTGTAGGTTGTGTGATGTCATCGAAAACTGGTCGCTTTAGGGAAGGATATGCAACAGTCAGAGACATTGAGAGCCAGCCGAGACCCCGGGGTCAGTAAGATCATTGGGTCCTCCTTTAATTATATCTATTATATTTTGCTGATTTTTCATAAAAGAAATTTAAGTGACAATTTTCTTCATGAATCCATGAAAAAGCAGTAACCACATTCGCCAAGCCCATTAGATAGTAGGCATATGTGGTGAGCTTTGGAATATCCCACTTCTGGGCCCCTCAACAGATCCTGGACCAGCTGCCCCTTGCCCCCCCCCCCTCTCGTCAGCCCTGGTAACAGTTCTTTCCAACGTAAATTATTCATACACTCAGATCATAAAGATGTATTGAGATCGTGGATTTAAAATTTCCAAGACGATGATATCCCTCGTATTTAATGGCATTGGAAAACAAAGGAATATGACTCAACTTTGTAAACCAGGATCATCCAGAAAGAGACCTGCAAAAAGTCGTACCCAAACCATGGTAAGCAGAATTGTGGCGTTTTGTGGAGAGTCTATGGATGCAAAGGTCAGTGTAATAAGTCGTCCACGTAAGCCAGGCAACAGCACTCACCATAATCAAGAAGGATATTCTTCTGGAAACAAGGCCAACAGGGTATACATTTATTAAGATAGGGCTTCCGGTCATACCCTTAAACCCCCTGGAGAACGAAACGGTTATTCACACTATTACGTACGAAACCATACTGGATTTCAGTACGATTGGACTGTTGAAAGGCGCTGGGAAGTCGTCGCCATTGTCCTCATACACCAGCTGGACTATGAAAAGCAGAAAGGAAGGAATGAATGTATTGGATATGACAGTGTTTTGACAGCGCCTTTTGCAATGAAACTGCACTGCAGAGCTATTTTTAAAATGCACATTCGTAAGATTAAGCATGACCAGACGTGGCAACATGGACCTGAAACAACGTGGAGAGGCTCAAAATCATTTCAGTATAACTTACTCAACTCTCTGTATATCTATATACTACTAAAACTCCGAGATCGTTTGTTTGTTTGTAATTAAATACAGCAAAAACGGCGCACAATAGCGCCATATTTGTAATGAAATGAGAATAGAAACAGAATAAAACAAGTTTCGTATAAAATCGGACCACGGGTTACCGAGTTAGCGCCGTTAGCGTTATGAAACTTTCTAGCATGAGTAATTTTACATCACAGTACCGTTCGCGCTCTTTACGAAACTTCT